TAACAAAGAAAGCGACCTACGTGGTGCATTCTTAAATCTGTCTCTTATACACATCTAGATGTGTATAAGAGACAGTATATGTATATATAAATAAATCTATATACAGATTAAAAGGCAAAATACTAAAAAATAAAAATGCTGCGGGTAACAATGGCTGGATCTCGGTTGAAATATAAATTTGATAAGGAACAGCTAAAAAGTACAACTATGAACCAAAATAATGTAATGAAGAGTATAATTTATATACATATTTTAGCCAGTTAGCCAGTACTGTATGTGCTTATAACTATGCATCAGTATGGCCTATATATAAATCATGGCATATAGAGATAAACTCTATTACCGTCTTGCGGTAATGCTGTAATAGGGACAGGGACGTAGCCAGGATTTTGAAAGGGAGGGAGCCGTTATACGAATTACGTTGGACCCCGGCGGGGTCAAGGGGGCGAATCCCCCTGTGAAGTAGCGCACTCTGAACGTCTTAGGACTGTTTGAGAGGATAAAGTGAAAATTGCAATAGACGCATTATAAATAAGTGCAAAAATAATTATATAATAAATCAACAGTGGCAGATCCAGGAATTCGAAAGAGAGGTGAACCAGAGAGAGACATTCACAGACTGAGGAACCACTTACCTCAGCCCCACCATGGTTGGGGCTGAGGTAAGAAAATTTATGATTAGGGCATCTCTAGACGGCCGGAGATTACACTCTCGCACTTCAATTTGAATATATTTTTCTTTTTTTTCCTTAAAAAACGAAGGGGGGGGGGTGCCCCCTTGAATCCACCTCTGCTCAAAACATTCTTTATCCAGAATAGTCATAATCACGAAAAATGGACATGAAAAACCAGATCACATCCTAAAAACAAACAGCAGTCACTAAGACATACATCAGGAGCCAACTCGATGGAGTTTAATGTAATACCCAGGGAAGGGCACAGATCTGTTTTGAAAGGTGGAGGGGGAGGGCATTTTGTAAGTCGACACCCACCTCAGCCCCACCATGGTTTATAGCTGAGGTGAGGAAATTTAAGGAAATAGTACGGTACCTCTAGATGGCCAGAAATGACACTTTTAGTAAAATTCATCATCATCACATCACCATTTAATAGTCGAAATGAAGCGCCAAAAAAATTCTCATGATCTTTTATCAGGGATTTTTGACAACCATAGAGATCTTATTAATGTGTGTGATATACCGCAGAAAACAAAGCTTAAAACATTGTATTTGAGTATGTATTTTACATAGGCCTACTTCAAAAACGTGATTTCACAACCACCTCAGCCCCACCATGGCTGGGGCTGAGGTGAGGAAATAGTACCTCTCGAGATGACCGGAAATGAAACTTTTATATAGTAAAATTGATCATCATCACATCACCATTATAGTCAAAATGAAACGCCAACAAATTTCTCATTATCCTATCATGGATCTACTTAATGTCCAGGACAACTTAGGCCTAACTATAGCTTACTAAGCTTTAACTATATATACTATATTATGATCAACAAATCACAACCTTTTTTCGCATTTAGCACAATTTTCTTCACTTTTTATTGCTATTAATATTATCATCAATTATTACTATCGTCATCATCATCATCATTGTTATTATTATTATTATTACTATTAGTAGTAGTATTATTAAACAAAAATTTAAAGAAACTTGGAAAAGGATAAAAACGAAATTAAAAACCACAGTATCGCATTTCTATCTTAAAAGACCTGGCCTGAGATTTATGGATTTAAGATTTTTTTAAATCACGCTTAGGCCTATGTGTTCTATTAGGCCTATGTATAACGTGTATTGATGCATATTGTAACGCTGATTATTTGGTTGCCGTGTGTTGTATGATCAGCGTCACTTCAAAGTATACAAAATTACACTGAAACAGGTTCTTTAATTGAGTAGCGCTCGGGTTCCTTTTTATTCAAACTACTACATGAGATAACTTAAGATAAACATTAAGTTTCACTGATGTCAGACTGTATATATAAAAAGGATGTAGTCCGGCGTTTAACTCCTAGTCTAATCTCGTTGTTATTCTCCTGCTAGCTCTATCCGAAATTGACTGTTCACTAATCATCATCCACTATATCTAGTCTATGCTAAAATCTAGAGAATGTGCATAAAGTGATTAATTGCCTACTTTAGTCGATCTTGTGATGGGAACATTCTCATAGCCTTCAGAATGTCCTTGTACTAAATGGAGGTCCCATTAAAGTAGTTTAGTGTCCTTGCTTACACCCCCTGTGTTATTAAGTGGCCCTGAGCCTAATCATTGTTTAACTGTCGTGATTACCCATTACCAATAAAACTATAGACAAGTATTCTAGAAAGGTATTTTTATAACTTTACACTATTTACATGTTTTAGAAGTACAGTATTCATTTTGAGTGATTCCAGGAAATAATTTGTATTGACTCAAGAATAAGCTTTAAAATTTTAACACTGTGTACAAAGGGGGTGGGGGGGGGCGGCTCCCACGGCCCCTGGATACGTCCCTGAATAGGGGGCTTTCGATTGCACGACGGTAGAACGTAATGATGGCACTTACAGTCACCTGAGCATGTGAGAACGTTAAGGTCACCTCATTGAGTAGATTGTGGAACGCAAAATCTACATATTATGCAGAGAACATAGGACGCCAGTAGGACTGTCAAGCATGAGTGATTCCGTTCTAGAATCGCGTCGTCATACAAATCGAAAGCTCCCTAATAATACATTTTGAAAGTTAAAAAAGAGGAATCGGCGAGTGTAAAAAAAAAAAAAAAAAACCTCATGGGTACTTAAACAGCACTTCTTATATATACCTGTCTCTTATACACATCTAGATGTGTATAAGAGACAGATTTGAGTACTGTTCCGAAAAACTTCAAACTTTTAATGAAATAGTGTGTGTTTCAGGCTATCTCACCGTACCTA